AGTTGTTGACTTTGTGTACCTTTTAAAATGTTTAGTAAATGAAGTAAAAGATTTATATTCATATATTCAACATGGCACAAACACTATGTAAAATGGTATGGCAGTTCCTCAATAAATTAAAAAAAGAATCATCATACTATCCAGCAATTCCACTTTGGGGTATATACCCAAAGTAGTTAAAAGCAGGAACTCAGAGATATTTATATACCTATGTGCATAGCAGTACTATTCACAATAGCCAAGGGATGGAAGCAACCCAAACATCAATGGACAGATGAATGGATAAACATAATCTGGCATTTTCACACAATAGAATATTATTCAACCTTAAAAAGGAAGGAAATTCTAACACATATTGAAACATGGATGAATCTTGAGAACACATTAAGTGAAATAAACCAATCACAAAAGACAATTACATTAAGTTTTCCACTTATATGAATTACCTAGAATAGTCCAACTCATAACATTGGAAGTAGACTGAAAGGGGTTGGGTGAAAAGGGAAAATGAGGTTTATGAGAACACAGTTTCCATTTTGCAAGATGAAAATCATTCCAAAGATGGATAATGATGATAGTTGTTTAACAATATGAATGTATTTAATGCCAGTGAACTACACAGTTAAAATGGTTAAGAAGACAAGCATTAAGTTATGTGTATTTTATCACAGTAAAAAATAAATTTACAGGTTGAAAATTGTTCTGTGAAAGACATTGTTACAATTTCCTATGTTCATATATGCATACACAACCAAAGAAACTCCACATCAGGTATAATCATAAGAATGGGATCCAAATTAGAAAAAAATGATACTCCATGTATATATATAAGATGTCAAAATACATTCTACTGTCATGTATATCTAAAAAGAACAAATTTAAAAATTACAAAAAAAAGAAAGAAAACTCTATATAAGAAGATCCTCTCTCAAAATAAGTTAGAACATCCACATTTTTTCAGAAGTTATTTGTAGGATGTGGTATTATTTCCTTTTAACTTGTTAAAAGAAAAGTCAAGCCAGACTTGAAGAAAATTTTTGCAAAATACATATCTGACAAAGGACTTGTATCCAAAATATGCAAAAGATTCTTAAAGCTCATCAATAAGAAAACAAGTCAATTTTAAAAGGGCAAAAGCTATGAATAGTCACTTCACTAAAGACATACAGATGGCAAATAAGCATATGAAAGAATTCTCAAACTTGTATGTCATTAAGGAAATGCAAATTAAAACAAAAATGAAATGCCATTACATACCATTAGAATGTTTGAAATTCAAAGAGTTGAAAATACCAATTACTGGCAAGAATGTAGAGCAATAGGAGCTCTTATTCATTGCTGATGGGAATGCAAATGGTATAGCTACCTTGGAAGACTGTTTGGCAGTTTCTTACAACCAGTGAGCGGTCTAATCATACAATCTAGCAAGGTCTCTCCTGGAGAGTTTCCCCATATAACTTGAAAACTATTTCAATATAGGGACCCCAGCCTCTGCGTTGTGACAGCCTGCCTGCCTCCACCAGTAGAAAGAATCATGCTCAGTAAAACAGAACCCAGATGAGAACTGAAAATGCTGTCTTAATCAAGCAAAAGTGGTGACCACTTGAATAGGGCAGTGACCTTGAGGGTACAAAGAAGTGGTGGAATTTCAAAAGTACTTACAAAGTATAATTAGCAAGATTTGGTGACCAAAAATGCTTAAGCCTCCCCCAAAATTCATTCCTGATTTAGAAGAGAGACAGTATGACTGTGGTGGAGCTGATGCAGTACTTCCTTGCATACCTGGCACATGACATTGGATGCTACTATTTTGTTTCATTGTGTTGTTATTGTTATCATTTCAGCAATGACCAAAAGCTGCAAAATGAGATGGTGAGTTTCCCAATGTGCTCAAAGAAGGTGGAGACTATTTTGTTGTTTTTCCATTGTCAAAATATTTCACAGGATGCCTTGGGACTACAGAGCTGCTCTGTTTCTGCCATACTACATGAAAATTGACTGAAATTAGGAAATATATCACATAACTCAGAAAACATATATCATTGTATGCAATAATGTACCAATGATAAAGGAAGCAACTCAATTTCAGCATGTGGAGGATAGGATTATTAAATCAATGATGTGGGCATAGCAATAGTGGCAGCAACAATGTGCCATTGTCTCACAATGATGAAATCTTTTAAAAAATTTAGAAGCACTTAGAAAAAGCTGTAACAAAATTGAAGAGAGACAATCGTAAAGATTTCCATTTAAAAACAGGCAGATGTGATTTTTGTGGACAAAATTGTCATCAAAATAAATTACTTTTATGAGAATATACAACATTCCAAAATATGCAGCAAAATAAGCAAACACATTACTTCACATTCATAACTTTAAAATACTGTTTTAAGTAAGTATTAAGAACTCTAAGAACATTTATATTTTTTAACATAATAACTCCCAACAATTTACTTTTAGAAAAGTCTTGTTATATTTGAATTCTATTCAGGTATAAAAATTCTACTAAGAGTTATTAATGCCTTGGGTATGAGTGTTCTCCCTTTGCTCCCACACTGTCAGATCCATTCTCTTCCTTCCCCATCAATGATCTGTCATTTGGGAAGCTGACTACTACTTCAGGCTGCATTCTGCTGATTCTCTGCCCTCTGGCTCCGAGTTGGCTTTGATCACTGAGGGTCACTAACAGCAGATCAGAGGACAGGAAAAGAGAGAGAGGTCATGGTACAGAGGGTCCCTGCTTAAGGATGATTTGACTTACAATTTTTCAACTTTACCATGGTATATAAGCAATACATATTCAGTAGAAAATGTGCTCCAAATATTAAATTTTGATCTTTTCCTGGACTGAAATTTCCTCAGGATGTGGGCAGTGGCAGCAAATGTCAGCCACAAGCTCTTGAGAGAATGCACACTCTCCAGTGTGCTCTGTTACCAGAAAATTTTGGATATAGATGTTCAATAAGTAGCATGCATTTATTAAATATTTTTATAAAGTAGGCTTTGGTTAGATGTCTTGCCCAACTATAGGTTAATGTAAATGTTCCAAGCCCCTTGAAGATAGTCTAGGCTAAGATGTGATGTCCTGTAGGTTAGTTGTATTCAGTTAAGTTCTCATATTTTCAACCTATGATGGGTGTATCAACCCTAACCCCATTGTAATTGAGGAGCATCTGCCTCTTTAAAACAGCTTCTTCAGCAAAGGCTGTGTCCCTTTAAAGCCACAGTTCCCACAAAACTAACCTCCTATGAATCAGCTCCCACTGAGCTCCAGAAAAGCATTATGTCCTTTTGCTTATTAGACTCTTCAGCTTCCTGTGGTTGCCAACTCTTTGACCCACAACATCCTTGTTTACCCGTTAACCCTAGCACATTTCTGCCTAGAGTCCCTTCATAACAGTCTCTTCATTTTCTCTTTTTTAGTGAATTTCATATCCAGACTGAGATGCACCTGAATTTCTTATGTTTTCAAGACCACATAGTCTGTATGGCCTTGTGTGTATGTACATAGAAAAACTTGTAGAGAAATACATAAACATGTACAGAGAAATTGCTTTGAGAAGTATAAATAAGAAAAATATATTCCCTTTATCTGTTTTCTTCTCATTTTACTGTATATATAGTAAATATATACACATTTTATTTATGATAAAGTAGTACGTCTGAAAACTAAATGAGCATATTTTAAAATATGCCTTTTTAAAAGTACATTAAGTTTCTGTTTTATGACCTTCAACTGATTTTTAATCGTTCTACTTTTATTTTATTTACTTATTTATTTATCTATCTACCTATTTATTTATTTATTTATTTTTGAGATAGGGTCTCTCTCTAAGTTGCTTAGGGACTTGCTAAATTGCTAAGGCTAACTTTGAATTTGCGATCCCCCTGCCTTAGCTTCCTGAGCTGCTGAGATTACAGACAGCACCCAGCTGTTCTACACACTTTTATTTTTAAAAAAAATGTTTCTAGTGTTTACTGTCCTTATCAACATAAATAACTTGCCATAAATTATTCTTAACTTTCATTTTTAACTGAGATCATTCTAGACTTGAAAGAAAAGACCTGAGATCTACTTTAGTCCCTGCTTTTTGGAGGATAAGAACATAAATATATTGCCACACACACACACACACACACACACACAAAAAAATATTACCAAGTGCAATTGAGGCAAGCATTCCTCTTCTCAATTTTCTTTGTGTTTGCAGAGTTCAGTTACAGTATTTCCGGCATTTTTGTTGCTCCTATTTACTCATTTTCTCCCTGAGAACAAGGAATGACTTTCCCAATTGGAAATATGGGAATAACTGGTCAAACTGTCCCTCTTGTTTTCTCTTTTTTTTTTTTTT